CTGCCAGAGGGTTTGAACTCGAGACTTTTTTTTCGAATTTATCGAATTAAGGATTACGTGTCAACTGGTTATGCGCCTTTGAGGCCATTGACTCCGATTTCAGCCTGCTTTTCTTTTTGGATTTGCTTCCATAGCCTTTGTCCAACCAAGAACAAACTACAAGACATCAGTTGTTTGATTTTGGAGTTGTCTCTCCTAGAAGAGTGGCTGTCCCCAGCTAACGAGCCTCATCTGCCCGAGGGTTCGAACTCGAGACTTTTCGGTTTAGCAACCACGAGCTTTACCGACTTTACCACATCCGATCTTTGGGGAGTTGATAAGAACACTCCAGGAAAGGGTTCTGTAAAAAATCATTGTTAATTTCGCAAAGGCGGCGCCACGGGAGGGTGCGATTTTTTCTCTATATACGATATATAAAAATAATAAAAGTGAATTGCAGTGACACCGTTCACACGATCGCCATGAAACTTTCGGAAGATGTTGAGAATACTCCTGGGGAGGTTTCTGCGCAAAAAAAACATTTTTAAATTCGTAGGGAAGGGTTCTGTAAAAAAAAAAATCATTTTTAATTTCGCAAGGGTGGTGCCACAGGAGGGTGCAATTTTTCTCTAAATATGGCATTTAAAAATAAAAGTCTATTGCGGTTTGACATTGTTCATCCGATCGCCATCAAACTTTGGGGAGTTAATTAGAACACTTCAGGTGAGGTTTCTGTTAAAAAAAAAACAACTTTTTTTTTAAATTTCGCAAGGCGGCGCCACGGGATGGTGGGATTTTCTCTTTATACAGTATATAAAAATTAAAGATCATTGCGGTTCGACACAGTTTATCCCGGTGCCATAAAACTTTAAGGAGTTGATGAATACTCCCGATAAGGTTTCTGGGGTGGGAGAGGGGGTGGGTGGTGGTGGAAGGGGGATTTAATTTTGCATGGGCGGCCTCCTGGCAGGATGCGATTTGGCGCCCTGGTCTTTCCCGTGAGTGCTATGGCGACTACGTTTATTCTAAACACTGTGATAGACAAAGGATAGGATGGGGCGTTACAAACGCTCACTAAATTGAATCAAGCGTGTCAGCCGGCGCAATGATAGGGTGCGATTTGGCTGCAAAAAAAATTATTTCAGTTTCAACCCCCAAAAGGCTCAGATGGGCCGCAGAGGGCCATGTAATACGTTTTATTTTAATAATAAGAAAAATTAACCAAGGTTAGATTAACTAGGATGTTTCTTTTTGTCCGTAAAAAAAATTAAACAGTTTCGTCACTTTGCGAATGATGCAATTAACATCTATTTTTAGACAATCCAATCAGAAATTGAGATCGAGGATCTAATAATGGACCGTTAGTAACGCTAACATATTGCATCAGTCACACTGATATTTAAAACACGTCCAATAATTTTTTTACGATTTAAGAAAAAATCCTGTTCATTTGTGTCATTTTAGCGAATGACGCAATCTGCATCATTGTTAACAGGATGCTATTTGGCACGATGGCACCTGTTAGTTTTAAAGAGCCAGGGGCAGTACGCGACGCCTATACGGTAGTGTAGGCTAATCGGGCAGGGGGGGGGGGGCTCCTGATAGCGCCCCTTTACGTCCCTGACACATGGGCGGTCACCAAAGTGTGTTCTACCTCATTATTTCGGTGAGTGATTAATGTACACTCAAGCGCTAGTGTAGATAAACCCGTTTCCCGATATTTATGATCCAAGCTCAGGCATTGTTTACATTTAAATAACTCACTTTTAGAAAACAAGGTCACGCGTATAAGAACATAGGATTGGTAACGCATGGATGAAACCCTTGTTATATATTTCGTTGGACTTTCTTCTATTCCCGCGGCAGCGCGCGGGGACTGGTACGCTAGTAGTGAATAAAAGCTCTGCCACTATGTGTATTCTAATGCCAAAATACATGCTTAGCGACATTGTAAAAAACACTTAGCTCCATCCAGGCCCGTAGAGACATATATGTCCCAAGCAACAAAAAAAAAAAAAAAACAACTAAAAATAAACCGGGAGTAGGCTCCCCTACACTTTCTCGAATATTTTCTTATATAACACTATGGGGGAAGGCAACTCGGGATATAGACATGATTTTTAATCCATTTGTAATTACTTATACTTTATAAAATAGAATAGAATCTCGTAGAAAAAAATTGCACACCAAGCGAACGCCAAACAAAATGTGTATAATAGTGCGTAATATTATTAGTTCTTTATAAATTTACATGCGTTTTTTGAGAAATCGGAAATAGCGTAAATTACTACTTCCGGTCAACTGAAATTACTAAAAATTTGACAGAAGGCAGATAATTAGATCTTTAACTTACATGTGAAAATCATTTATCTATCTGAAATGGTACTCAAGTTATAGGCTTTTGAAAAATTGAAAGTAGAAAAAGTTCCACTTCCGGTTATCGGAAATCGCTGAAAAGTTGAAACAGATCTACAAATGTGATATAATACTTATATGAAATTTCATCAACCTAGCTATAACGGTACTCAAGTTATCGTGTTTACAGACACACATACACACACACACAGAGACATACGGACAAGATTGCAAAACTATGTTTTTCCGACTCAAGAAGGTGTAAAATGTCGAGATTTTTTTATTTTTTTTTGCAAGATTACAATACTTTCTCTATACTTCGTATATACGAGAAAGTAAAAACAACAAGCAAATCTATTAGGAAGAACAAATGTTAATATAATACCTAAATAGTAAACCTTTGAAAAACCGACTGTAATTTCTTTCTGTTAACTTAGTATTTTTTATATAAAAATGAAAATGCAGCTTTGCAAGCGGTCTAAAAATTGAACGTTCCCATAAATATGACAACAAAACTATCTCATATATACTGAAAGCAGCTTTATTTATAAAGTCTATCATGTAGTAAATTTGTTTTAATTTTGAGGCAAATTCAACAACTGTGTTATTTCAATTTCGATTGGTAATAATTTAAAAATTTGGGACACATATGTCCCTTGGGCCTCAAAGGGTCAAACTGGCTAAAAATCGACAGCGGCTACGTTCTGTTGATTGCCGATCTCTATCCCCCTGGTTAACCCTTGACATTTGAAATAAAGGAATCCCTTTACGTCTGCCACTTTGAGTATAAAAACCTTTCACCGCACAGTTTGCCATTTTGAATGCGGACCTGTACACCGTGACGTCATATGCAAGGACTCTATAAAATAAACAAAAGTCAGTATTTAAAATACCTACCACATTTCACTTGATCAATCCACGCTAATTATGTAATTATTTTTTCCTAACACCTAAACAAAGTAGGGGCCTAATAAAAAGTACAACCCCCCCCCCCCGATGAAATGGGTTTTTATAAAGGGAAGTAATTGTATTTTCCTAATTTATCAAGGGACGTAAGTAGTGCTAAAGAACTAAATGTAAATAATTTTCAGAGACAATTAGAATTTTTGTGAATGGTGACACGTTTTTTAATAATTTTGTATGGTGGATATGCCGACAATTATCACTATAAGTTTAAAAAATGAAAATTGTTTAACAACACCTTCAATATTAATTTTTTAAATCATGAATTTAGACGATAAGAATTTAAGAAAAAAATTCAGTTTTTGAAAGGAAAAAATCTCTCTAACTTATAACGTGTAGGCCTACCTTAGAATTCTAGATCTAGGGCCCTAAGGGGAAAAAAGTAAAAGAAAAAATCACAAGAACTGTTCTAAGAAATATCTTGATTTAGTCTAGTCTAGATCTAGATCTATATCCAGATCTATGGTTGAGTATGGCAACATCTTAATGAGTTTGATAAATGTCAAAATGTGGGCAAAGCGGTTGAACTACTGTTTCTTTGAGGCGAGGAGTTGATGACAGCTGTTGAGCGAGACCAGATCTCCCTAGACTAGATCTACTAGAGTAGCTAGATCTAGATCTAGATCTAAAATACCTCTATTACTAGAAATTAGACTGCAGATCTAAAAAAAATATTTTTTATGTATTTGTGTGACTAAATTCAGATCTAGAATCTAGTCTAGAAAAATTCTAGATCTAGAATCTATAATTTTCTATCTATATAGATCTAGCTAGATCTAATATTCATCTATTATTCTATTCTAACAAGATAGTTAGGGCTTGTCGCTATAATTCTAGATATTGATATAGATCTAGAATCTAGCTCTAGCATGGTCTTCTAGATTCTAGTTAGCTCCCTTTTGTTTGTTTTTAATTTACTGCCAGTAAAAATTAATTAAATAGACCTAATAAATTCAAATATTTTTTTTTATATAGATATCAGATATAGATCTAGATCTAGTCCTGATTATAGACTCTAGATCTAGATTATTCTAGAATATAGATAGAGATGTAGATCTAGATCTATCTAGATCTAGACTATTTTCTAGACTATTAGAAGATTTATTTTAAACACAAGGGCATGTTGATAGGGCCATAATAATAATAATTTCAATAAATAAATAAATACATTACGTTTGTTTAAAATATTAGTTAGATCTAGAAATCTAGAATCTAGATGATTTATATGTAACTTTAAGTAATTTAGATTTAGAGATCTATCTAGAATCTAGATCAGGCTACATTCTCCGCCCTAAAATTCTAGACTAAGTCTTGCATCGATCGGACATCGTTCGTCATCAGTTGAGTAACTTGAACTTGCGGGTTGAGTGACTTGAGTTAGAAAATCTAGAATCTAGAGTCTGGTGAGTAAACATTTTCAGACAGTGCCGATTCTAGAACTTGATACTCTCGGATTTCTGATTTAGATCTAGATTCTAGATCTAGAGTATAGGCCTAATGATTTGTATCTAGATCTACTAGTCTAGATTAGTCTAGATCTAGACTAGTCTCTAGATCTATATTTATTCTATTTCTAAATCTCTAGCAGTAGCCACCGGCTGTAGGTAGAAAATCTAGATGATAGATCAGGCTAGATTATTATAGATAGAGCATCAACCAGATTCTAGATCTAGTCTAGATCTAGACCTCTAGATAGATAGATCTAGTCTAGCCAATTCTAGTCTATGTGACAGTGAGACACAAAGAGTTAATCATTCGTCTGCTTATAAAATATAAAGTAAGTAGATATAGATCTAGATCTAGATCTAATCTAGATCTAGATCTAGATGACCTAGATCTAGATGACCTAGATCTAGATTAGAATCTAGATCTAGATCTCTAGTCTTTATGACTTAAATTTAAATGTTGGCCTATTTTATTTTCATTAGATTAATTAATAAATTTATCTAGGATTTTATCTTGGATTTTAATAATTATATTTTTTATTACTAGATCTATTACTAAATTACATCTAGAATCTAGACTAGATGTCTAGTATCTAGATTCTAGAATCTTGATTAGATCTAGATCTATATAGAATCTAGATCTACGATTGGGTAATCTATCGTTTAAGGGTTAAGGTGCATAAAATCGGCCGAGGCTTGATCTAGTAATGTGAAAAAAAGGTGACTCCTTAGGTCTAAATTTTTTTTATTATTTCACATTTTTAGGAGGATTAATGTTTAAAAAGTTACAAAAATTTTCAAAGTTTCATTAATGTAGTGTACCTGTTTTTAAACAATTGTATTAAACATTTTCAGTAAAAAATAAAGTCTAGCGATGCTTTCATCAAATGCAACCAAGCTCATTTACTTTAGCCTTAGCAGCCATCTTGTTTTTTTTGTGTGAAATTATAGTTAGAGATTCAGGGGATACAACTCTAACTTACAGATGGCTGCTGTTTAAATTGCAAATCTTGCTAGCAAACACTGCTGTTTAAAGTTAATTTCTGGCCTAGACCTATATTGATATATTTAGCCATTGATTTTTGTTTATTTTTTCAGTTAGCTATAATATTTGCCACAAATAGATCTATATCTCTACGTCTATTAAACTAATAAAGCCTTAACAATGAGGCACCTTTTTTGCACATTACTAGTCTCAGCCTTTTACGCACCTCGGATAGATTACCTAGAATTGATTATTTATTATTTATTCTATCTACTCTAGATCTAGATCTAGACTTAAGCCTACCAAAACATAGATCTAGATTAGATCTAGAATTCTAGTTCTAGAAATCTAGATCCAGATTAAAATCTAGATCGAATCGACACTAGTACTGTTGTATAGTAGATCTAGATCTAGATCTAGTTTAATTAATCTAGATCTAGATTTCTAGAACTAGAATTGAGAATTTTAGACAGTCCTATAGTAAATTATTATGGTGAACGGAAAAAAAAAAACAGAAAAAAATCAGTTTTTGCAAGGAAAATAGTCACAGAAAAAAGTCACAAAAATATTCATAGAAATATTTTGATTTAATTGTTGATAATTATAAAATCTTGAGAGTTTATTAATGTGCTTTGTAATTTTTTTTTTGGTAGTGCATTTGTAAACTTTAAAATCATTATGGTTTATAACAATAATAAGTTAAAATATTGTAAGATAATGTACATAGTACATAGCAACGTTAACATTCGTTACGTATTTAGTTAAATACATGGTGGAAAATTTTTATAAAATAAATTTAGGCTCATCATTGTGTTTGCTTTTGCCATAGGCCTTATTTTGGTCGGCTTCTCCGGCTTCGTCTGTCCATATTGTGTTTTGTTTTTAAGTTTTGCGTCAATCACAGCCTTTGTACCTTTCTCTTTTGATCCTAGGCTTTATTACCTAAAGAGTGTGTTAAATTCTATGTTGTAAAATTGAAAATATAAAAATTTAAAAAGTAGTAGAGATTATAGAAAGACTATATCTAGTTTAGATCTAGAATTTAGATTTAGGCCTAATTAATTTTATTAATTAACAGGCCTAAGTCAAAATTATGAATTGGTAATCCAAAATGACTGATTATCTATTAAACATTAATTCATAATTAGTTCTAAAATCTGAATTAACTACGACACTGTTTAAAATTAAAGCATACAATTAGTATATAAATTCTAATTTGTTCAGGAGGTGGGGGGGGGGGGGGGTTACATTATTTGTGTTGGCGCAGCCACCTCAAAAGAGTTGCCTGAAAGAAAAAGTGGATTCTATCTAATTAGTTGTTTAATAGGCTTATGTTTTATTTATAACTACCAAGCCTGTGCAGCACATTTGGGCAGGGCTAGAAGAAAGTCTGACAAAATATTTTAACAGGGTTTCATCAATTCATTACCGATCCTATAATCTTAGATGCGTGACCTTGTTTCTCTAAAACTGAGTTATTGAATCAATACCTGCGCTACATGTCTTGGATCATAATTGTCAGTGCAGAGTTTGCCTACACTACTGCCTTAAATGTATGTTAATCCCTGTAAGTAATAGTGAGTTAGAATACATTTTGGCGACCGCCCAGGTGTCAGGGATGTAGAAGGGTGCTCTCGGGAACCCCCAGTTACACTACCGCAGGGGCGCTGTATACGGTCCCTGACTTGGTTTAATCAACGAATGTCGTGTGCCACCTTGTCAATATTATAGTGTGCTCCTTAAAACTAAGTAGGACGCCAAATCAAACCTTACCCGAGGCACTGGCAGAGGCACCTGATTAAGTGAATGACTATAGTACCACAATTTATGCATAGTCTATAAAACAAACGAATAAAACGGGAAAGCTCGGAGAGCCAAATAACACCCTGGAGGGCACCAGAGGACGCGCCTGATTCAATTTAGTGAGCGACTCTAGCAACCCATTGTACCCATGACCTATGACACTGTTTAAAATGAACCTATGCGCCATAGTGCTCACATGTGATCCCAGGGTACCAAATCACTCCCATGCCAGAGCGCACAAGGATGCGCCTGATTCGATACAGTCAATGGTTATTTTAGCCCATTGTGTCTTAGTATTTAGACTTCTTTTTAAAGCGGATGTAGGCACCTTAGAGCTCACTGGGGAGCCTAGGGCACTTTAGGGCACCAGCGATTGCATCTGTTGCAGTTTATCCCCTGAATATAGTAGTATCCTTTACCGCATACAGGATGCCCTATTAACAGATACCAAGTGCTATGATAGCCGCTCTGGAATTCTGGGCACCAAACCCTGACAAAAATTACACCCTCCCGGGCTCTGACATGAAATACTCTTTCGTGGCACTCGGATGAACGTTGTCCAGATTTTTATTTTATATATATATTCACTAAAATTTCCACAGGAGTATTCTCAACAACTTCCCAAAGTTTCATGGTGATCGAATGAAAGGTGTATTAATGTATAAAAGACTAAAAAATACACACACTCATACATTTTTTGCTTTTTATAGTTATAGATAATTAATATTAATATTAGATATAGATAATTAATATTAATGTTTCACAATATAATTATAGGGCTTAATTATAAAAAATATAGGCCTAGGCACTAAAAAATTAATTACTAGGCCTAATAAAAATCTATATTCTTTTAGCTTTGGTCTAGTAGAAATAGCTCTATAGAATTTTGTTATATTATTTTAAAATTCTTAAAACTTTTACTAAATGAAATAATTGATATTTAGACTAGTTATCTTTTAAAGGCCATTTTCATACTCAAATATAACTAATTACATTTAGATTTCATCGACTAGTAGGTCTTTTCTATTTGATGACTTGATAAAATGTATTCCCAATACTATGTTTGGTAATGAACATAACATTCCAATGTAATGCCACACTGTTGGTTTAGGATTAGATTAGGGCTAGAGTTAGTATGAAACAGGCCTACAACTACAGCAAAGCAAGGGTTAAAACTATGAGTTGGGTTAGTGATGAGATTGGAAGATCTAGTAGCTAAATACTTTTGATCAGTTGTTTACAAAGTGGCTTTGTCATTCACATATTCTCTGACCAGGTACTTTTGACAGACTTTTTGCCAATTTTACTCTCATTCACAGTGGTGGTTTACTACCCTATTTCTGTGACAACATGATAGCTTTAATACTATTTCATTAAGGTAGATGTAATTTAATATTTCAGTATAAAGTCTTATTCTTGGATAACTTTCAATTTGTGATTGTCTATTCTCATGCTGCAAGTCTGTGTCTAGTGCCCATGTTGCAAGTCTGTGTCTAGTGCCCATGTTGCAAGTCTGTGTCTAGTGCCTGTCTCATGCTGCAAGTCTGTGTCTAGTGCCCATGCTGCAAGTCTGTGTCTAGTGCCCATGCTGCAAGTCTGTGTCTAGTGCCCATGTTGCAAGTCTGTGTCTAGTGCCCATGTTGCAAGTCTGTGTCTAGTGCCCATGCTGCAAGTCTGTGTCTAGTGCCTGTCTCATGCTGCAAGTCTGTGTCTAGTGCCTGTCTCATGCTGCAAGTCTGTGTCTAGTGCCCATGCTGCAAGTCTGTGTCTAGTGCCCATGTTGCAAGTCTGTGTCTAGTGCCCATGCTGCAAGTCTGTGTCTAGTGCCCATGTTGCAAGTCTGTGTCTAGTACCTGTCTCATGCTGCAAGTCTGTGTCTAGTGCCCATGTTGCAAGTCTGTGTCTAGTGCCCATGCTGCAAGTCTGTGTCTAGTGCCCATGTTGCAAGTCTGTGTCTAGTACCTGTCTCATGCTGCAAGTCTGTGTCTAGTGCCCATGTTGCAAGTCTGTGTCTAGTGCCCATGCTGCAAGTCTGTGTCTAGTGCCCATGTTGCAAGTCTGTGTCTAGTGCCCATGCTGCAAGTCTGTGTCTAGTGCCCATGTTGCAAGTCTGTGTCTAGTGCCCATGCTGTAAGTCTGTGTCTAGTGCCCATGTTGCAAGTCTGTGTCTAGTGCCTGTCTCATGCTGCAAGTCTGTGTCTAGTGCCCATGCTGTAAGTCTGTGTCTAGTGCCCATGCTGCAAGTCTGTGTCTAGTGCCCATGCTGTAAGTCTGTGTCTAGTGCCCATGCTGCAAGTCTGTGTCTAGTGCCCATGCTGCAAGTCTGTGTCTAGTGCCCATGTTGCAAGTCTGTGTCTAGTGCCTGTCTCATGCTGCAAGTATGTGTCTAGTGCATGTCTCATGCTGCAAGTCTGTGTCTAGTGCCCATGTTGCAAGTCTGTGTCTAGTGCCCATGCTGCAAGTCTGTGTCTAGTGCCCATGCTGTAAGTCTGTGTCTAGTGCCCATGCTGCAAGTCTGTGTCTAGTGCCCATGCTGCAAGTCTG